TGATGGATCCGGATATAATTGAGGTTGCGATTGATAAGCTTGTTTGTCGTAAGGAACTAGTACAAATTGCGTTTGTGGATGAGCTTGTGCGTAGCTGTTAAAATGAATCTGAGCCGATTGTTGTTGCTGTTGAGCAACTGCAGCTATTCGCAATGCCTGTAAATATGCATTCACCTGTTGTGCATTTTGAACAGCTAATTGTTGCAACAAACGTTGTTCTTGAAATTGATCGTGTGGATGACGATGTATATGATTTTGACGTCGAATATGTCGAAATGGTGAGGTCGAACTACTAGTATTTTCATAATGATATGTTCCGTTCATATCATTCGTAGCTGCTAATGGCATACCATGCATTTGGTGGATATCTATCCCAGTGTAAAATTGGGCTTTATTATTGTTATGATAACGATTATTATATCGATTACTTATATGCCCCGTGGCATTTCGATACGTTCTTTGATTATTTGGAAAATGATTGTATTGATGAGGTATTCTTGTTGTAGAATTTGATGATGATGATAAAGATTTAATACTTATTGAATCTTCTAAATCAACTGTGGAGGGCATCGGTGACACCTGCTGTTGTTCTTCGCCGTTAATATTGAAATGAACAATACCATTAGATTCATTTTCAATTGTTTGTTGTTCCTGAGCATTCGTAGAAAAATTTTCTTGAGTAATATGAAGTGGACGAGACGAATATTGATGATTGGCATTCTCCTGTTGACTATCAATAATGTTTGGGACGCTCTAAATGAAAAACAAAAGGAAACCAAATGAGATAGGTCATCCTCGTTTCCACTCATAGGTATAGAGAGATTCGTGGACTGATTGAATAGTTATGAAACATTGCAATGTGCACGTAAAAACAAACTCTCCTCATCTTGTATCATCGAAAAACACCGACAAACATAGAGAAGATTTTCACACTTTACTCAACGAGATTCTACCGCTTTCTGTTCCATAGTTGGTAGTTAGTTTTCATGATCCATATCGTATTGCACAGTCATACTCAGAACAAGCTAATTTAGAGGTTCTTGACGTATGAATATATACTTTAGCAAATTCTCCACTCATAAAAGAATAAAATATGGGTTACAGTATTCAAAAATATTTAAGCGATATTTGCTGAATAGGGAAAACATTTCGCTCCTACTTCAGGTACGTGATTAAACGGAAAAAGCACCCAGTTACAACAATTTTTTCTTTTGTCTTCTGCTCACTTTTTGT